TTGGTTCACAGCCTTTGTCTGCCACGCCAAGTCTGTGACAGCCACAGAGTTGTGGCGGCAAAAACCTCCACCACATTATGGCGAAAATTGCTACTATGAACTAGTACAAATATTATGGCATGCCAAACTAGTACAATATATCTAGCTCTTATATCTTTTTTTATGGGTCATCTTATCTATTCTCTACAACAACAATGATAAGTAGGTGAATTCCCCACATTGGGGAAATGATGATGATGATTTCATGTGTAATTTACACTACAAGTTTACATGGTTTAATATATTAACCCACATAATATACGATTTAGATATCACTTTCGGCAATCAAAGCTGTCAAAAAGATACACTACCGGAATGCCCAGGTTTGCCGTGTGCCCACAGCAAATGGCGAAGGTAAAAACATATTCGTCAAACGGCACTCGGCAAACACAGACTCGGCAAAGCTATCTTTGCCGAGTGTTTTTTGTCGAGCACTCGGCAAAGATGTTGCCGAGTGCTAAAACCGACATTCAGCAAAAAAAAAATCAAAAAATATAAAAAAGCCCCCCACCCCGCACGCGCCACGTCCGCGTTGCCGCCCGCCCGTGGCTCGCCCCGTCGCCGCCGCCACCACGCCGCCTGCTGCCACCATCGTCCACGGTAGGCCGCCGCTGCCACCATTGTCCAGCAGCAGGGTGCAGCACAGAACCCATCTACTCTACTATCATTAAACCGGCGAGCCTCGGCCGTCGCTTAGACCATCCACGTCGCCCCGAATTCCCTCGTCCGTTCGATCTTTGGTCCTGCGGTCCAGATCTATTGAATCAGATTTCGTCTGAAGTGGCTCCTCGTGCTTCTCCTTACCTTATCCGGCTTTTTCATCGTTTCTTGTCGGATTCTCCGACTTCTCCACCGAATCCACAAAAGCAAATATATACTCCCGGCAGACCGAGAGTACTCGCTTCCGCTTGCCAGTAGGTGTCTTCTCGTTGCCGCCCTCCTCTCTCTCCCCATCGCTCTCTCCTTCACGTCTCGCGTCGCATGCCGTCTCCGCGGCCGACTTCCGCCTCCCGCCTTCCTCAGCTCACTTCTCCTCCTCCTCTCCTGCGGCATCGCGCCGGCGCGCCCGCCACCGCCATGTATTTGCGCCGCCTCCTCCTCGGCCTCACAGATTCCATCTGGACCCAGCAAGACATCCACCGAAACCCTAGGTATCGCGGGCGCCGTGCTCGTGGGTCCCCACCACTGTGCCCTTCCCGAGTTCGTGCGGAGGTGGGATCCTTTACCCGGCTCCACGCCGCCGGGCCAGACTGCGTTTGTTCGCCTTGGCTCATTGGTTCCGTCTTGCGAAGGTTCTCCGATCCAAAGATCGCCTCGCCTCGTGTTCCTCATTGCTGACCCCGGTAGTTTCCCACGCTTCTCATCTTTCGCTTTGATTCGTGTTTTATTCCATCTTTCAGTACTCCCAATGATTCTCCCCCGTGGTCATCACTAGATTATACTGCGCGCGTGGTGACACTATGTGTTCTTCCTCTTTCATTCGTTAGTGCACGCATCGTGTTTGATTACTACTAATAGTTTAGCATTTGGATATGTTACCAACTCGATTTAGGTTCTATGTAGACCTGCTAAATTACTCAAAGGCCCTCTCTATTATATACATAGATTGGATTGTTCTTAGATTTCTCATATTTTCTTTTTTAGAGGATATATGTTCTTGCCGTGCTATGTAAATTTACTATCATTAAACCGGCGAGCCTCGTACCGTCGCTTAGACCATCCACGCCTCCTCAATTCCCTCGTCTGCTCGATCACAGCCTGCGCTTGTCTTTATGGGGATCCACGTAAATATGAGATATTTGGCTCAATAAGCTAATGCTTAAATGTGGATGAATTCTTACTATGCCACCACTTTGCAAGGGTATGAATGCTTCTCAAAATAAATAATCAACATACCATTGCAACTATGATTACCATGTCTTTTCTTTTTTCCTTACCTCCTCTCTTCTATTTTACAATGGATTTAATTTAGTTGCACATGATATATCATATTGAGCCATGATTCCCATTGTTTTTTTAACTGTATTTTACTTGGCCTAATACTTCCGTTTGTTTTTATGGCCACTTGGCCAGCATATGCGACTGGGAAAAGTATAATTGGAGTGCTTCAGTTCTTTATTTAGCGAGCAAGGTAACATCCAATTCATATTCCTCCTCTATATCCCCATTATACTTTTCTCTTTATATTCACTCTTCAAGCACAAGATTAACTACTTGGTTCCAGAGCATTGCTGTCATAGGTGTTGTTACATTATCTTAGTGACTTCCTACATGTTTGTGTTGTCTTTGTTGTTTATGCATGATAGCAGGATGGTTTGTAAATTTTTTTTGTTAGGTTCCTCACATGTTCTTAATGTCACTACTTACATTACTGATCCGTTCAGAGAGCATGGGATTTGGAATTCATCGTGCACTTCACTTTGAAATGAATGATCCAAAGTTACTTTATCGATATTGTAGATAGTATAGGGCACATTTGTTTGAGATAGCGTGAGCACATTAGGTTAGTTGTATTCCTAAAAATTACATGATTTCAAATTAATATAGGTTCCATACGTTGTCGGTAAATATGCAGTCTTGGAGAAGCTCGCCAAGAAAAGAAGAAATAGTCATATGTGTTGCCATGAATTTTGTCAACGTGTGCCACATCACAGTGAAGACCTAGCTGTTTTATTCATCGGGATGCCCTCTACCGCCTCTGAGTGTTTCTTATGTTCCTCATGGTAACCGTGTTGTTGGTCTCGGTCTGTATTTGCTATCATTTTGTTTCTCCTGTTGCTTCTCTATACAAGCCTTTAGCCTTTGCTTCTCGTCGTTGCTATGTACGTGAGACCTCTGTCATGACATGTGTCGCCATGGCGCTTCGAGTTTCGACCACTTTAGGAAAATGATTTGGAAGAAGTGCCATCATATATGTTCATTGTCAAAACATGATATATGTGCATGGAAGCTTTGGAAACTTTTTATTGCACGAAAAAAAATCCATATCCAACTTAACTTACTTACATGTATGACTATCCTGTTCATAGCATGTCCTTACTGGAAGCAATTTTTTGGGATGTTGCATTAACATTTACTAACAGTAAAGCGTCCCTGCTTTTATCAAAGAACAACAATCTTGATGGTTTGGCAATAATGTATGCTTTGGCATAACTTACTAAAACAAAACAAAAGGTCAATGCATGATCCAAAGAAAATAATGTGGTGGTACCAAGCTATATGAGGATCATGCGGCTTCTACATTGATGTGATCTTTGTGATTTGTTATGCTCATTATCACTTCAACAGCCCTTCTCTATCTCAATCGTCTGTTCAATCTTGATCCATTCTGCTCTCGTGTCTCGGGTCGAGGATGCCAGTGGTCCCTCGAATGGCGGTGGCGCGGACCTACATCACCCCCTTCATCATCTCTCCTCCCCTGAGCAGCGTCGATGGCCACCTATCTTTGCCACCTCCTTTCCCTCTTGCCCTCGCCCTTTCTAGCTCAGGCGGCCTGGTATGGTAACCATCCATGTGACCGAGTATTCGATTCCCTAATTTTACTCCCTTTTACAGGTTTGGATAAGTGATTGGTTGACAACCTCACTTGCTCCTATTGTGTGTGCAGTCCAAGAACCCATAGAGGACCGCCTCACTCTGATCTTTTGGCTCATGAATGAATCAAAACCTATTTGCACATGCAAAGTTGAGTAGTTTGAGGTCTCGTTTTTTACCAAAGTATATATGCACATATAAACTTTTGTAACCAATATCGTTCTTTGCATTCATCTTGAATTGTATAGGTTTGGTGCAAAACAACACCGCTTCTTATGCGGTGCCAAGATGATCACGCCTTCCATAAAATTCAGTTCACGCCCTCCTCCATGTGTAACTCTCTATCCTTTTCCGTGCGTCAAATGAGGCTTTGCAGGTTATGCAGCCGGCCTATTTAAATGTAGCTTATGTTCAGCGTTTGCACATTATCAGAGTCAGATAGTGAGGATCGATGCCGAAGTGGGACCTTCTTGCCTGATTTTTTCCTTATCGATTCAGATATGCATCCTGCTCTTGTTTTAATTTTCAAACAACATTTGTGAGACCTCTTGACCTGTCCAATTTTGTAATGCCCTCTTTCTTGCTTAATCTAACGAGTTGCATGATGATCATGCTATGCATATTGTTGCCATCTACTTCGTCCTCTTTTTGTTTATTCGCGTGTTCTATTTTTTAGAATAAAGACCAAGTCGTCTGCACTGAGCTTATTCCTCCTTAGTCTGTAATCCATTTCACAAATCTATAGGTATTAGGATGTAAAAAAAATAGATATGGTGCAGAACACGCAGCTTCAAGCTTGCATATGATACCGCCTTACATCCTGGGTTGTAAAAGCAGAAATGGAGGAAGTACGCCTCCATTTGACCAAACAAATTCAGATGCTCTCTGAAAATCACATGTCAATCAATAGACGTTCTACGAGCCAGGTACAACAGATGCATCCATTCTGATGCTTTTCGGCAAAGACCTCACTGTTGGTTATCAAGAGTTTGTGCAACTTGACAACATCTAAATGGTCGTAAAGTTTTTTATCTGCAAATTGATTGAAAAAGAATAGGCACAATGTGATATTCAAAGAGCTACAAAAGATCTTGCCTACTTTATGCATACATACTTAATTTACATTTTATCTGAAATTTTTATATATCTATCAACGCAACTTCTAGAAATTATCGGGACTACATGGCCGCCTAACTTTACTACGATCTAATCACCGCTATATCCTATAAGGTTTATGCAAAGATGACAACTTCTAGATGCTCCCAGGGCTTCATCTCAGCTAAAAATTGTTCCAATCTAGTTCCTATTTCATCTCGCTTTGTGCATGCCTTCTAGTGGTCTAAATGGTGGTGGTTCAATAGTGGTGTTGCCTGTCATTGGCTATCTTCGACATTTCTTGGCGAAATACAGATGCTGATCAAGTACCATCACACAGTTGAAGAGAGGTACATTATCTGTTTTCGTATTAAGGAAGGTGCATAATTAACAATTGCAACTACAAGTTCCTCAGCTATTTGAATTACCTGATGATCAGCACAGACAAATTTATGTTGCATCCATTCTTTGATATGTACGCACTGCATGCAAAGATTAAACATATTTTTTACCTACGCCTGAACCAGGTGATTTGCCGGCACGCGTGATGGCGCGCGTGATGTACTAGTTAATCTCAAAACCATCGGAATCACAAGACAAAGCGAATATAGCATCGCTACTGAAGCAGGCACCTGCAGCTGCACCTTCTTCTGGATCTGGATGCTCACCAGGTGCGGCTGCGCCCCATCAGACCTGAGACCAAAATCGCAAAACCCGAATCACCAACTCTGACCTTCTAGCTTCAATTAATAATTCAACAAAGGAACACAAAAATTCGGTGATGAGCGGTCGCCACTGACTGCCAGTAGGTGTCGAGGTTGTCGTCGCGTAGTGCCGCGACGCCGTTGCCGGCCTTGCAGGAAATGACGCTCCACGCGGCCGTCTTCGCCATCTCCCGCATGTCCGCGTCCACAGTCAGCTCCGGGCTCCCCTTCAGCCTCCTAGCGCCTGGTGCCCCCGCCGCCGCCGGGGTCGCCGCCGCCTCCTCCTCGGCGTCGGATTCCATCGGACTAGTGCGAGGGGAAGAGTTGGGGGAAATTTTGGACGCCTTGATGAGCAGTTGCGCGGGCAAGGAAAGCGGCCCAGAAGCAGGAGAGGAGTGCCGTCTTTCCCTGTATGCGTGTTCTCCGGAAGAGATAAGGGAGAGAGAGAAGGGGAGGGGAGGGGAGGGGGCGGCGGCGGATATATTAGTTATTTTTGCCGAGTGTCAGATCACGGCATTCGGTAAATTTATTTTTTTGTCGAGTGCCGGGCAATTATATTCGGTAAATATATTTCTTCGTCGAGTGCCTAGTTTTGTCGAGTGTTTTTTTTCTAGATTGCCGAGTGTCAAACTTTACCTAGTGTTTTTTTTACCTCGTTTGCCTAGTGCAATTATTTTGCCGAGTTTTTTTTTGCAGTCATTCGACAAAGAGCTTGTTTGCCAAGTGCCTGGTAGATTGCACTCGGCAAACCATATTGCACTTGGCTTACCTTCTGTTTGCGGTAGTGATAGAAATGGCTTGATGCAATTTGAACGATAATTATCGCCAAGATCTTGAGGTCTTATTTAGTTGCACTTATATGCATTGAGATGAATTAAAATAAAATAACTAATTTTTACTTCAACACACGTGAATTATACGAACCCAACAATTGTACCTTTGCTTCAGGCCTTTCCTTCATCTCGAAGCACAGCCTAAGACGAGAGTGCATATGCAATTCCAAATCTGTAGAGGGGAACAAAAGCATTTACCACATAAACGCAAACGCTATCCGCACTGCCTTACGTTGCTGGCCCTACTCACCAGCAGGCCCCTGGCTGCGCTCCAAAAACACGTTGGGCCCACCTGCCCGTGACCCATGCCCCTTCTCCTATATATCCCACTCTCCGTGCGCGACGCCTCGGCCTCTCTCTCCGCCTCCCCCATTTCTCTTCCCCTGCGATCCGAGCCCGCACCCGCAGGGAAGACAAGGGATCACCTGATCACCAGGGCGCGGCCTCGCGATCTCGGTAACCACTATTCCCTCCTATAAATTCTTCGTTAGAACTCCTCAATCCTGCTGAGCTCTTGGTCGATGTGAACCCGCCTCAGTCCGATCACTTACGATTGGGTCCGCGGCGTTTCTGCGCGCTTTCGGCGATCGGATTGTCTGCTAGGTCCAGCTGATCTGGGGAGCTCAATTCCTTAGTTTCACTGATACGCTTCATCGATTTTGCGGGAATATTCGAGGAATCTGGGCGTTTTTGACCGGCTCCGCTCGATTCAGCTTCGTTACCACGCGGGTGCTCGCGAATCTAGGGGAGGTTTTCCTCGCTTGCGGCCCCTCGAATCTGATCCGTTCCCGCAGTTTGCGTGCGCCGTTGCCTCGGATCTGCGTGCTTGTGGCATCGGGTTCCGTGGATTGGCTTTGTTTCTGGTGTTATTATGTTAAATCATCTGCATACTCTGAGTGGATCCATGGGCTGAACCCTTTGCTTTCGTTTCCATCTCAGCGCAGGAGCGGAGATGGGGCTCACGTTCACGAAGCTGTTCAGCCGCCTCTTCGCCAAGAAGGAGATGAGGATCCTCATGGTCGGTCTCGATGCAGCTGGTAAGACCACCATCCTCTACAAGCTCAAGCTCGGCGAGATCGTCACCACCATTCCCACCATTGGTACGCCCCTCATCAACATCTGGTATCTTGCGCTACTGTTGTTACACAATGTTTATATTTGTTATAACTGTCGGTAATTTTGGTTTTTGATTTCTATCTCCAGTTTAGGCCTAGGATTTTGTACTATGCAGGTGTAATGATTCTTCCATCTTACTAAATTGCGATTTCTAGCTCCAGTTTAGGCCTAGGATTTTGTACTATGCAGGTGTAATGATTCTTCCCTCTGACTAAGTTGCATGATAACTGATACCTTGGGCTCTTGTAGTAAATTGGATCTAGGGATATTCACAGTTGACTTGTAGTTGAATTTCTATGCAAGTTAATATTATTTTAGTATTTGTTTCCATCTTGACACCATGGCCACATGTTTCATCTCATTGGCTTTCTGAAAATTGAGTCCTGTAAGCTAGCTTCTACAAGGGAGATAAGCTTTGCCAGACTGATGCTAATTCAACTAGTCAGTCGTCAGACTATTGTTATGTGCTGTACCTTTTTTAATGGTTGACCTCCTGAGTTCAACCTGAGGTAGTAAGTCTTTCATTAGATAATATTTTCAACACTTTATCTAGTGATGCACATTTTGGACATCTTTAAGATGGTCTTAATAGGATAGACTTATTTGGCATTCTGTCATTTTGTTATCCTAATTAAGCCATTAAATAAATGGAAACTCTTTTCAAAAGTAAAATTACCTATGTCTGTTTTAAAAGCTTTATTATAGTCATACCAATGACCCATTTTTGGCTTTCTAGATTGCTCATGAGTTTGTGAACATATTCTATATTTCTTATTGTTTTTTGTTTTGTTCAGGCGTAATATTATGCTTTTAGTATAGCTTTATACTAAAGTAAATTTTTGATTGTTTCCTGTTGTAAGAATTTGCCTTTGTGATCTGAGTATCATTTATGTTCCTTTAATTAAACTTGCTATCCTTGAAAATGCAGGATTTAACGTTGAAACTGTTGAGTACAAGAACATTAGTTTCACTGTTTGGGATGTTGGTGGTCAGGACAAGGTAACAATTTGCCTAAAACTTATTTTTGTTTTGGTTATGGCATTTTTAATACCATGCTGTTTGGTGTTCTCCTGTGCTGTATGATAATATGAAACTTATCACTTGCATAATGCAGAGTTATACATGGCTTCAGTGTAATGCCTTATCTTGATATGTGGGATGCATTTAAATTTGCATTAAAAAAAAAACTTCAACTTGAAGTTCTTATTTGGAACGTACCTGTCCTTCATAAACATTTGCAGCTTTGTGCTATGTTACTTTTAGCCTGCATGTTCTTGTGGTCTGATGATTTTCGTGCTCTTTTACAGATCCGGCCCCTGTGGAGGCATTACTTCCAGAACACCCAGGGCCTCATTTTTGTTGTAGACAGCAACGACAGAGAGCGTGTTGTTGAGGCCAGAGATGAGCTCCACCGGATGCTGAACGAGGTAAAATTGAATTGTATTACTACTTGCAGTTGAATGAACTATGATTGCTGTAGTAATTATGGATGGCATATGGTTGCATTTTCTTTGGCCAAGATCAATCTACTTGTTTATTAGTTTCAAATATTTTAGCCTTAAAATAAAATTTTCTAAAATTACCTTGCACTGAGGAATGCCTGTATCACTTTCCTTTGTTTTAATTTAACTTTAAAACACTCATGTAAAATGTTTTTCATTCTTTGAAAAAGTTTAGTTCTTACAGTTTCATATATCTAGTGACATTATTTTGTTGTCTTATGCTGGCAGGACGAGCTCCGTGATGCTGTGCTTTTGGTGTTTGCAAACAAACAAGATCTGCCTAATGCCATGAACGCTGCTGAAATCACCGATAAGCTTGGCCTGCACTCGCTGCGCCAGCGGCACTGGTATGTGTCCTATCTTTTCTGAAAGTTTGTGCTGTCCTGCACTATTTGATTGACAAAGGAATTGTGTATTGATACAGAAAGGAATAGATTACAGTAAATTTGCATATATAAATCAAATATTTAAACTTAGGCACCAAATATTCTGCTCAGCTTGCAATATGCAAGTGATGTATGCTAGGTCTTCTTGACAACAGAATTGTTGCTTGAATTTGAAGCGATCCAAATCATTGATGTGTCCATCTTTACTCACTGCAGGTACATCCAGAGCACATGTGCTACCTCTGGTGAGGGTTTGTATGAGGGGCTTGACTGGCTTTCGAACAACATCGCCAACAAGGTACTCTAACTTCATTACAGTTTGATCAATCAAATGAATATATGCACATTGATTAAGATTTTAAGGTGCCCTGAGTCTGTAAGATAGTCATATAGCTACTTAAATGGATTGATGCAAACATCCACACACACAACCTATCTTGCCTAAAATTGGCCAACCTGGTTTTAATAAATTTAAGAAAAAAATATGTATTCATTGTGTGCAGCTTGTTATCAATGTACTAAGGTTTATTTGCTTTTGCTTGCACATTTTCTTTTAGAAATGCGAACCCAAGTTTCACGCTGCTGACCACTTATCCTTAATTTCTCTATTAGGCTTGAAGCATCTAGACGGGGCTTCAATCAATGGAAACGTCCTGTATACTTGGGTGCAAACTGCCTCTACCATTGCAGCTATGAACTATATAGTCGTGACTATCAGGTGTGGGGGTGTTTTTGGGAGGATAAAAGGCTTTTTTGGTCAAGGAGCTAGGTATCAGATGTTTTCGCGGTATTGTTAACTTTCCGTGCTTCTGTTTTGGTTTGTGCAAGGTATACCATGTCCGACTGTGTGCTGTGTTCTACAATGTGCTGTATACTCTCGTCACCTGTCTGAGGCGTTGTACTACCACTATCTCGACCTGTCTGGCTCTCTTGGCATAGCAAAATGGTCGCCTAATTTGTTAGCACATCGTTCCTCCTGCGTTTGCCGTTCCATATCTTATGTTTGCTCGGTACTATCACGAGGGCTTGTTTGTTTGGTGGCTGTATTGCTGCACGCTGAATTCTCATCTTTGCTGGTCCCTTTTTCTCCGGTTGAATCTGCATCCTGTATCGCTGGTTGATTTTGAGCACCACCAAGGATCGGATTACTGTGCCTCCCAGACTTGGCTACCGAATGTCCTCACAGACTTGGCTAGTCCGGCCTCGGTCCGCTCCGTGGCGATGGCAGCGACCACTAGTCACCGAAGTTGAGATGGTCTGAACTTGATTTTTTTTTTTTTTTTTAGAATGGCCTGATCTTGATTCTTGACCACGAGACATCATGGCAGCTATCTGTCGCTCATGAACCGGGCTTCAGTTCTAAGTTTTGAAGTCACTTCAGTTTTATCCTTAAAACCTTTATAACTTTGATGTCGCTATATAACCTTGGTTGTATCTTAAACATTATCTTTGTAAATATTGGTTCTTTGTAAATAATGGTTAGTGATTCCAGCGGACTCTAGATTTGCTCCATGGTCCCATCATAGCTATGAGGGCACGAGGCTTGAGACTCCTATGGCTCGATCATGACACCGCAGCTGTGACACATTTCCGAGGCTTCAAAAAGGTTGCAAAATTTCTTCACTGGAATCTTGTGTTTTACCGTTACTGCTTCCGTCCCTAAATAACTGTCGCTGCTAATGTGCAATATTTGTATCCCCAAATAAATTTATTAAAAATTAGATTTAAATATCTTTTCTATGATCCGAGAAGTAGCGTTGGAGCCGAGTACATCCATGATCCGATCGAGTGGCATTCTAGCACCCCGGTTAGTTTGTTAGGATTAATGTTATCATAAGCGATAAACAATCAGTCACCTTTATTTACCGTTGAGATCATATATTTACACGGAGTAAAATCATTTAATGGTTTTGTAAATACGTATTTATACTTTTTTAAAAAGTACTGTAGCAAATGAGAAATTTTAAGGGAGGGAACTAAATCCCACTTCCCTTAGGTGCCAATAAAGTGGCTCAATGGCTGAAATCCTCCCTATATGAATTAAATAGATTATTAGTCTATCTAACCACATTTACTCGATCCCGTATAGGTGATCCAGTTCTGCTGTAAACCGATAATAACGGGGCAAAAAGCGTGAACCAAACACGATCGATGCTACGGAGTACGGACCTACGGCGGTCTTCACGCTTCCTCTCAGGTATGGAGACAACAGGGTTTCAGGCGACGTGACGTGAATAAATGTCCCCATTGCTTCCTCAACCGTGCAACATCAGAGGCTTAGAGGCGAGCATATGGTCGGAACTTTCTGAGTAAAGAGTAATGAGTGCACCTTTCTCGTGTGAGCAGCGAATTCCGGCAGATAGCACAAAGCGCAAGAGGAAGCTGGAGCATGCGGCTTTCTGCCAGCTCTCGCTCTCGGTCTGCCTATAAACCGTGGCACGCACCTTCCGGCTTCGGCACTCGCAGGCCGGCCGGTTGGGCGGCAGCGGCATGGGCGTCTCGCCGATTCAGCGCGCACGCATGCAGCCATGTATACAGTGGAGTGACCTGTACGGCTGTACGTACGTGCCTTCCAAAGGGCGATCCCGCCAGGGCCAGGCCGGGGTTCCCGACGGCCTCGAGACGATGCATGTTGCTACTACGTTAGCCTGCCTGTTGTTAGGAAGATCAGCGTGCGCGCGGGCGCCCGTGGCCATAACGACGACGACGACGACGGTGTGAGCGGGGTCACACGCAATCCGTGCCATTCCGCCATTCCACGCCATGCCGCCGCCGAGACGTGAACAAGGAAATCGAAAGAAAAGAGGAAGCAGCAGGCAGCCCCGCAGCAGTAGATGGGGTACTTTGGCAGCCGGAATCGCTGCGTTCCATTGATTGATGATGGGCAGTCGATTGCCGCGAGTCGTTCGTTCGTTCTAAACGGTGCTCCTGCTGCCGTCCGCCCGTCACTAATGGTGGAGGTCCCGCACGCACGATGGTGGAGTACACCATCGATCGATAAAACCGGCAATGGCATTCGGCACACCCTGGCGCCTACCTGCCAGAGTGCCAGCCACGAGCTCAAACAGAGGTCCGTCGCCGTCGTCGATCCAGACAGGCCACACTGCAACATCCCCGTGCAGGTGCAGGCGTGCATTCAGCACGCTGCGACTGCAACAGCCACAGCGGGACGGGGAGAAATCTGAACGGGGACTAGACGACCACCGCCGCAATACACGCGGCCGGTACGCGCCACCAAGAAACTAACCGACCCAATTAATTCCGCTCTCGATCTGGCCGCAACCTAAGCTAGCATCGCGAACGCCGTTGAATCACAGCCAGACACACCTCTCGTCGTCCGGCGGGCGGGGCGAGCACGGCGGCTGTTGCTGCCTTGCTGGCCGCAGCTCGGTCCACTCCAGGGGCTTGTGCCCGTCGGATCGATCGGAACGGCCAGGCACGCATACACACGGAGCGCGCGGCGTGCACCGCTACGCTACACGCACGGCTGCCTTGGCCTTGTGTCTATATAAACCACGCTTATCGCTCGGACAGGCCACCTCCGAATTTATTGATCCATCCATCCATCCATCCCCTGCACTGCACACCGCCGCTTTACGAGTGCTCGCCGGCCGCCACATCTCCCAAGCCGGCCGGTGTAGCCTAGCTACCTCGCTCACGCACGCAGGGCACACAGCTAGAGCTAGCCATGGTGGTACCGACGACGACGACGCTGCTGGTGGCGGCGGCGTCGACGCTAGTGCTCCTCCTGCTGCTTCCATCGCCGTCGATCGCGCAGCCGGTGTCGTCGCCGTCGCCGGCGGCGGCGGCGGCGCCGGGGCCCGCGGGGGGCGGGATGGACTCGGCGTGCATGAACTCGCTGCTCAACATGTCGGACTGCCTGACGTACGTGACCAAGGGGAGCACGGCGCGGCGGCCCGACACGCCGTGCTGCCCGGAGCTGGCGGGCCTCGTCGACTCCAACCCGGTCTGCCTCTGCGAGCTCCTCTCCGGCGCCGCCGACTCCTACGGCATCGCCGTCGACTACGCCCGCGCGCTCGCGCTCCCCGGGATCTGCCGCGTCGCCACCCCGGCCGTCTCCACCTGTACAGGTGAGTTCGTGAGTCACCTCGTCAGTCTCTGCACTCTGCACGGCACTATCGTAGATTGGATTCTCGCTCGCTAATCGTGGGTTACTACTGATGCAAAATCGCAGCCTTGGGGTATGACGTCCGCGTGGGCCCAGCTGCAGCGCCTATGTCAGGGTCGCCCTCGCCCATGTCAGGCATCTCTCCCTCCGGGGAGGGCCCACAGTTCCCAGGTAAGCACATCATTTTTATTTGTGTGGTTGGTTATTAAAACACTGTGTAGGAGTCGATGCATGCATGCTGGCCAAAATCGCGGCATAGTTAGTTGTTACCCTAGCTGTTTGAACGTAGAAATTTTAGCAGGAGATGAAAATATGAATTGAAAGGAACACGAATAATGCTCCATCCTAGCTAAATGTACTCCTACAACTTGATTGATCGATTCGATCGTGCCGTGAAAATGTTCTCATCAAACTCATTGATCGAATTAGCAGTAGTACATTGCTTTTGTGCACGATCTATCTGGTTTGACGCGCCGTACAGTTCGCTGTTAGCTAGGCTCATGTACTAGCTTGTCACGTATTTAATGACCATCACAAACCAAATCTCATGCCTGCTTCCTAAATCCTAATAATGAACCCACACATGCATGTGCATTATTCTGCAGGAACATCGCCGCTGGCCTCGCCGCCGTCGTCGACCAGCACCGCGGCGCGGCGCCGCTCCTCCGCCGGCAGCCACCTCGTCACCCTCGCCATGCTGCCGCTGGCCGCCGCCGCCGTCAGCGGGATGCTCTAGATCGATGATTCCTTCATTCGTATCAACATTGCCAGCCAGGACAGACATTGCGTATATGCTTTTTATCATGTTCTATTCTATATTCTATGCTGTCGCTCGATCTTCGGTTGTACGTATTACCGTGGGCTGGGCTTTAGCCTTGTTTCTTGCCAACCGAGATGAGATTACTGGTCCCATGCATTCGTGTGTTGACATATAACTTGGCTGGATATCGAGCCAGCCCGGCTCGGCTCGGTTGGCTCGACTCGTTAATATTATGAGCTAGAGGGGTAGCTCGGCTCAGCTCGTTACTGAGCTTAAGCTGGCTCGTTTAGCTCGTGAGCTATAAAAAAATAGGACATGCATGTTTATAATATTCATACTACATTAAATCCAGAAGGTGACGTTCACCGTTATGCAATCATACATGATTAATACATATCAGGTTCATCAAAAGTATCAACAATGCAACATAGCTAGTCCATCCATGATCATGCAGTTCTAGCATACTAACTAGTTGCTTGTCACCATAAACCTAGAAAAGTCCACAGATTTAATGTCAGCGTCATCATTTTCTCTCTGAAAACAATCCATAAAATCAATATTTAAGTACCACAACAATTATCACCATGTTCGTTTGAGCTGGTTTGGCTTATAAGCCATGACTGAAAATATTGTTGGCTGTTTTGGTGTGAGAGAAAAATACTGTTCGTTGGTTGATAAGCCATGGCTTATAAGCAAATACGACCAAGCGAACAGGCTGTATAAAATCAAAATTCATATGAAACAGCTGAAAATAAAGATTACATACCAATAGAATAGATGTACACTTCTAGGTCAGCATTATCATCTTTTGGATTTATGATCGTGAACCAATAGGCCTCAGCTCGTGAGCAGCCCGCGAGCTAGTTCGTTAAAATAGCGAGCTAGACTTCCAGCTCAACTCGTGAAAAAATTAAAACGAGCTGAGAGTTAAGCCGAGCTGAGCCGACTACAAGTCAAGCGAGTTGACGAGCCGCGAGTATTTTGTCCAGCCTTACATATAACTCAGTATGTTCGTTTTGGCTGGATTGGCTTATAAGCCATCGGCTAAAAATATTGCTAGCTGATTTGATATGAGATAAAAAATAATACTGTTGGCTGGCTGATAAGCAAGCCCGAACCTGAATTTGAATTCCCTCGCTCAGTTGAGTGACTGTTCACGCGCACTGTTCCTTCCATTCATGCCTTTCCCATGTGATCGGGTACGTACGTACGCATATCTTCACAAGTTCTGCCGAGCACATCACTGATGAATTCCAGCGGCGGTCGCGTCGCATCTTCGCATGCAATGCAGATCGAGCAACGCCGCCGACTTGAGGGGTGAGGCCAGCGCACTGCAGCGGTGTCGCCGCCTCGCCTGCATTGAATGAATTCAGCGAGGCGAGTGGATGAACGAAACAAGCACGTCAGTCCGTTGCGTTGATGACCCGTCGTCCACTGAATTGAATTCCCCAACCGCCGCTTTGATGGGCGGCGCTCCCATGCATGGGCATGGCCATCCATGTGACGACACTGAGCTCGGCGCCTCGGCGGCAGAGCCTTTCTGGCAGTTCCACAAAGGCCAGGGAGGCAGTTGTGGCCAGAACTGCAACGGCAAGGAGCGCCCGATAAAGATTTTGTTCAGGTGTGGCCGGGATTCGGTTGGGTTGGGTGGGCTGAAGAGAGGGGAAAAAGGAAGAGGAGAATTCATGAGATGGCCAGAATGCCAGATGGGTCAGGCAGGCAGGCACGCTCAGGAGTCAGGAGTCAGGTTCAGGTTTCAGTTGTGGAGTAGGGCCTCGTTTAGATTGAGAAAAATTTCACCGATCCCGATATAATAGTGAAGGTTTTTTGAGACTTTGTACTGGCATCTGAACCAACTGACTCAAAAAGATTCATCTCGTGATTTCCAACTAAATTGTGTAATTAGTTATTTTTTTTACCTACATTTAATGCTCCATGCAAACGTCCAAAAATTGATGTGATGGAGAGAGAGTGAAAAAACTTGGAACTTTAAAGGGAACTAAACAAGGCCTAGGAGTAACTTTCCGCACCGGGCCTGTTCGCCTGTTTGTTTTCCTCTAGGCCTGGTTTAGATCGTAAGTTTTTTCACTTTCTCTTTATCGTATCAAATTTTTAGATATATGTATGGAATATTAAATGTAGATAAAAAATAACTAATTACACAATTGATCAGGAATACAGAGGCGAAATTTTGATTTTAATTAGAACTATGATTTTAATAATTATCCAATACAAGCGAAAAGTGCATACGATCTCAAATACTTGATTTCTAACCCCAATCTAAACAAGGCTCTAGTAACAAATCAGTGAACAATACTTTTAGTCATGATTTTTAGTAAAACGAACAGGGCTAGTAACTAGAACAAAGAAAAAAAAAACTGATGATGCCATCGTCACCACACTCCACGACCTGTTGTGCCCCAAGTCGAACGCGTAGCATGCGGACCGGCCGTGGCTCCGTTGATCATACGGTACATAAGAACCTGCACACGTTGACGGTAACGGGATTAGAGTCAAAACTCAAAACCTGTCCGTTCAAACTTCGACCTGAGAACTCCAAAGTGCTACCGTCCACGAGTATTCTTTTTTTTCACGAGATCCATGTGATCAATAACAGGTTCTAAACAATATACTCTATGTTCTACTACATTACAATAAATTAAATTCTGAATCATTTTTTCAAGAGAAAAAAATTAGAAGCAACCATTCACCACTAAATCTACCATTCAACAATTTCTTTTGAACCAATAAAAGAAACTAGCTCCTTGCTTCCTCCTATAGTCCTATGTGCTATGCCAACCACATCCAGTACATTGTGGCTGCACTTTTGTCCATGACTAATGATGGAACGAGGAGGTGACAGATTGGAGCTCTGAACTGCTCGGGCTATCGCTAGATGGACGTTGCATGAGATTTATTAGGGTACGAAAGAGAAGAAAATGGGATGATACTGGCAGAAGCCTGTTTTAAGGAGAGAGAGGCTCGATGTGATGCACTATACATGTAAATATATCTAACACATATATTATATCTTTGATTTTGTGCCAAAATTTTTGGGCATTCACCACCACTTTCTTGCTTGTCGCTGGCCGCACCACCATAGGCAAGTCGCTCAGTGGCATGCTATTGTGCTTGACGTCAATGGCTTTGACTGTAGCCATATCAGTATATCACAGTTCCTCATCAGTTCGCTGGGATACCAATTGCATACCATAAACAAAGCACACGAATGCTTAAGTTGTAGGATCGGAGAGATCTAGTGATTTCGTGGGATTACCAGAAATTTATACCACATATCGAGAAAGGTTACAGATGACAACGAATCAAGATCTTTTAAGATTCTGGTACAAATTATGAGCTAGCAGAACCAAGCAATCTAATAAATCAATAAATAAAACACTAGGCTTGTTCTAAATGCATCTCAATCCAGCATAGCCTATCGCATATTTCTTTTATGAGAGATACAGGAGACCTAGAACAGACTATGGATTATGGATACAAGTGGTATGCAGTAACAAAGAGTACTCTTCCAAGCTCCTGCCTGGTTACCGCTCAAAACCGCTAGGGGTAACCAAAAAAACCAATATCTAATTAGGAGCAAGGAGCAACAAAAACCAGCAGAATCCAGGCCAAACCCTTGCAAAACAACTTGGTGTAACCTGTTTCTGTGTCAAGATCAATGGTTCCAACAGGCCGTTGTCCTCCCACATTCTGACCCTAGCACACATTGCAGCTCCTCCGACAGTAACCGGGCAATGCTGCGGTTCCCACCATGTACTCTGGGTTCTTTATGCACTCCCCTAGGGCCGCCCATTTCGTGCAGCTCTCATTCTCGTCGGTGCAGTTGCCTTGTGGGTGATGGACCTTATCGAACGAGGCCACACGGATCCACTTCGTAGCTGACCATTTCTCGCCCTTTATGACTGGGCAACCACCATGGAGGCTCACTGAATCGGTGGTGCCATCTGGCTTAAGGTTGAAGAAAAGGAGGGCGTCTCCTTTTCGTGGTTTCACTGAGGAAGAAGTTTCAGGTCAATTGAGAAATATGTCAGATGGCATACAAAGAAAACAAGAATAAGGAATACCAAGAGACACTCTGGATAAAATGCAATACCTGCAATGCCTTTCTGAGCACATTCTGAGAAGGTTGCATCTTTAGCATCATCGACCTCCTTTTAAGAATCCACGCAGATCATTATGTAATATGAGAAGACAGGAAATAGGAAATTCTTAACCACTGTCTACCATCTTCTTAAACACTAACGTCACTGAAAATAGAAGAAATTTACCTCAGCCAAGGGGAAAACTGTTTCCCCTCCTGCTGCTACATCAGTTAAGTACAAAAGAACAGTAGCATAGCGATGACCACCCCGAACAGTGTTAACATTGTCAGTGAAGTAATCATAGTGCGCTTCATACTTCTCCCCATGCTTATATCTTAGGACTTGGATATCTTCACCATTCTCTGATCAGAATAGAACACCCATAAGAAAAAAATTAATAGCGATATGAATTTTTCGTTGTTCCGGCAGGTCCAACCTATACATGAAATAGGAACATGGAAACAGAAGGGTAACAACATAAACGTGTTAAAATAATCACCCTATTATCAAATCAGAGTTTTCGATGGCCCAACATTTGAACAGATGCTAGAAAAATCTTGGATAAGCTAATCCTCAAAATTAGGTCATATAGCTCAGCACTAAGGCCTAAGAGACATGTCTGGCTTATTTAGGTTGTGACATACTAGATTTGACTCCCCCAACTGATATAAGCATACAGCCAACTGATTGACATCAGATTGTGTACATGAGTGTCAGAGAAAGAGAGAGTGTGTCATGAATTTCTAGAGACTACTACTATATTAAAGGCATGATTCTAATACATGCATGGTCATGGCTCTTAACAAAAAGTTCTGAAAACTGTGAGCTGAATTCTTATCATGTAACTTGTCAACCACTAGATATAATTCAACAAAAGGAAAAACAATGGTGAGGATAATCTGCCAAGCACTAGTATTAGGATTTTTGTGCCTCCAAAACGCAAGAATATAAAAGTACAGTGTTAATGCCTCAATGAGAACCACAACCTTTTGGAAGGAATGTCCATGCAGCAATTTTGTTCTCTATACCCTCAACAATTGGATCCTACAAATTTGAGCAGCATTGTTCAAGTAAGAACCATGCGAACAAGAGAAATGCCTCAACAGCCGACTGTACTGCACTCTCATTCTCAGACACTAGGTACGATTAGTCACCAGATGTAAGAAAATACAAATGTTTCAGTAGCAGATCGCCCCCATCCTTCTATTTAGCTGGAAGAAAACATGAAAAACTCCCAAAAAGACACAGTCAAATCCCATCTTTCATTCTAATATGCATGCCAAGGAGATGCTCGGCATTCACAAATACACCAGATCGATCAAAAGACTATTTTCTTCACTGCCTATGCGATGAAACACAAATACACACAGAGGTATGAACTCGTAATCCTAAAGCGAGGAGGAACTCTGATTCAAAGTAGCAGTACCAGCAATCAGAATTATAAATTTGGGCCATAGGGTAATTCAGGTGTTAGGCTTGGCGAGCCAATGAAAAAACTTAGCTACTCTTATGGAGATGAAACCCATAGAGCAATTCGGGCCATAGGGCTAAATGGCAGTATTGGAAAGCTTTATATGATATTTCAGAATTCCCTATTCTCATTCATTCAATCACAACAGCATTTTCTGGTTTCTGCTTGCCCCTCTTGGCCTCTGCAGCAATATCTTGTACACTGATAAAGTTCATTCAAGTAGTCACCATGGCCAACAGGCTAAAATGGGTTGTAGCCTGATTTGAACACAAAGCAACTATATCCGCTAGTTAGGATGAGCAACAGGCAAACACATTCATTGAAAAAGTATGCATTCCAACGTTCCAAGGGTAATCTGCGATGCTCGAACTAGTGAGATGCCTCTTGTTGGGGATGATGCAGTTCCATTGTGCAATATCTATGGCATGTCCTTTATAAAACAATGTTTGCATGCACGATTGCTATGCCAGCCCGGGTAAAGGGTTTTGTTTAGCAGAGGCAGTCTAACCAAACAGCGAAAGTAACAAGGGCCTAACCTGGCCCTTCCTGAGGAAGGTGCCGGAGCTGGTGCGGACGTCGCTGAGCGTGCTCTTGCCGGACATATTATCAGCGACCGCCGACCTCTTGAGCTCCGCTCTCGCCTGAAGAGACGAAAACGAGCAAATCCCAAAATTCAGTCGAGTCCGGGGCATTATCGAGAAGCAAAGACAAGCGTTCTGTGGGATTGGGGGCGGGAGAGTGGCACCGACGAGGGAGATGAGGTGGTTGGCCTCGTCGTCGCTGAGGAAGTGCTGGTACAGGAACACCCTGGGCCGTACAAGCACCATGGATCGCCAGTCAGACACATCTCATTTGTTTTCGATGAAATCGAGAACAACCGAGCGATGGAACGGTGATGAGGGTTGCCTACCTGGGTTTCCAGGAGATCTGGCGGGAGTTTTGCGGGTAGACGACGGCCGCCGGGTACACCGAGCTGCCCTTCCCGCCTCCCTCGGCAGCGCCGCCGCGGACGACGAGGTGGGCGAGGAAGAGGAGGAGCTGCACGACGGCAGCAGGGCGGGCCCCCGCCCATGGAGAACTCTTCATTGCAACCGAGAAAAAAAATCTCGCCCACGGGGAAGGGGAAGGGCCGAAGAGGAGGGGAGATCGCTTGTCCCGGGGGAAGAGCGGGGCGCGCGGCGGCGCGCGGTGACGCGAGCACAGCGGCGGCGAGTGGCCCGAGGGAAGTGGTCGCCACGTTTCACGGGTATGGACTATGCAGACAGACCCCCGCCGCTCAAATGCGCGCCCCGTCGATCGAACGGCTAGCGCGCGCCGGAAGGAACCGAGCGTTTTTAAGGGTTTGTTTAGATGGTAAGTTTTTTCGCTCTCTCATCACATTAAATTTTTGAACATATGTATGGAGTATTAAATATAGATAAAAAAATAACTAATTATATAGTTTAATTGTATAAATTACGAGACGAATCTTTTGAGCCTAGTTAGGTCATAATTGAACAATAATTGTTAAATATAAATAAAAATACTACAGTGCTAAATACTGATTTCTAACTCCAATCTAAACAAGACCCAACTCTCTTTGCAGCCTGTCAGACTTTGCTTGCATTAGCGAACTGATAGTAGATAAGTTTGTGGTTACTTCCGGTGGAATCAGTCCACCCAGATTTAACAGTACGTTCGGTTGGCTGGTTTGTTTCGTTGCTGGTTTATAAAGAAGTACTGCTGGCTGATTTGTGTGAGAGAAAAATACTGTTTCGGCTGGAAATTTACGATCGTTTACGACAAGCCACAACCAAACGAACAGGCTGTAAATTCTCCACTTTGGCACGGGTGCTCGTATTTTTCTGAATTTATTTTAGATTTACCGGCGCTATGCTTACAGTGGTATGCGACGTCCCCATCAACAGCGAGGCGCTTGTGATGACTTCGTGATCCTCAAGATTTGCCGGCTTAATCCTTCGAAGGTGCTCATAGGGGTAGAGTTTGCGTACGTGTGTTCATAGGGGTAAGCGTACGTGCGTGTGTGGGCGTTTACGTTGTATAATGTAATTCTAAAAAAACATTTGCTTGCATTGTTAATTAATTAATTCGTTTTTCATTTGAAATAAAAAATAGTTTTATTATTTTGTAAATAATCATAATAGTAGCGAGTATAATAAAATAATGATCTTATAGTTAAGCTAGTCAGTAATTTTTGCTAATGTGAAAGAAAGAATGGAGAGAAAGAAGAACTTAGCTCTCATATAGGTCGTCGTTGATTGCTCCGAGGTAAAGATGGCGACGAGCACAATTTTTATAGGTACATTGTATATAAACCCGCACCCGGGAGCTAAAACCCACGCCCGCGCCCACGCCCATTACCCGCGACGGTACAATAGTGTGCCCGCACCCACCACCCGCAGGAACAAAATACCCACGGACACACCCACTAGCCCGCCAAATATAAAAAACAGAGAGTGAAAGTAACAACTAAGTAACTAACAAGGCAATTGGATAACATCAGTATAGTATACGGTACGGTACATGGCAATATCAAATTCTACACCAATTATAGTTCATAGATTACACTCACACTGTCACACAGGACACAGTAGTATAGTATACATAGTTCAACTTGAACAAACTGCTATCAATCAGAGTCGACACTCGTGATACATGATTCTTCCTTCATTTCTTCTTCTATGTCTTCAAGGCAAGACCAAAAGATATCAACCTTACCATCATCTTGATTTACATCAAGGTATTTTTTAATGTTAATAGCTGCAGCCTATAGATTACAGATTTTAGAATATATGAAACATAAAAAATGACCATTTTTATTACCTTTAAGCGAGTGACGAAGCCAACTTTGGCTACACATAAGAGCTTCCACCATTTGAAGAGTAAGACGGCTGCGATGCTCACTTAAAACTCTACCACCAATGCTAAAAGCTGACTTGAAAGCTACTGTGGTGACCGGAATAGCCAAAATATCACGAGTTTTCATCCTCAAAGCTGGGAAACGAGTTCCCGCAGCCTTCCATCAGCCAAGAACATCAAAATATTCACTCTCATTATGAGAAAGTGGTTCTTCATCCAAATAGCGATCTAACTCATTCTTGGCTTTAGACAAACTTGAAGTTTGTTTATTTGCAGCAAGTGACTTGAATATGGACAGCACAGCCGCTGCACTAACAGTAGAAGAAGAAGCACCAAAAGATGATGTACCCACACCCTCTTGGTCAGTTTGCACGTGGTATTCATGCATCAACTCTGTTAGCAACTCATAGCTCTTTTTGACATATTTATCAGCTTCATCTTCACCCAATAGAGCAATGTAGCAAGCTTCCAACATTATCATCTTAAGACGTGGATTAAAAATAACAGCTAAAGCCATAAGACCTTGGATGTTAGACCAATATTTATCATACTTCTCTATCATGGCAATGGATATTTTCCTAATTATCTCATTTTCATCTTCTTTTCAAGAATTAATTTTAAGTTTGATCTCACATACTTTGGGGAAGAAGATGTTAGCTGTCACATACTTGGTTCTAGAAAACAACGTAGTGAGCTGATTGAACAATTCTAATTTCTCACAAACAAGCGAAGTAAATTTCTAATCATCTTCTAGAGGGCAATCAAAGCTTTGATCAAGGGTTCCTAACTGTTCAAAAACTTTCCTATAAGGTATAGCAATACTAAGCATGATATAAGTCGAGTTCCATCTAATTTTGCAATCTAGACACAACTTCTTAGTTAATTGAACATTTTGCTGCTGTGCTGCTTTCACAAATTTCTCATACCTCTTTGGTGTAGCAACCCAATAAACAATACTTTCCCTGATACTTGCAACAAATTTCTTAATCACTTCCAAACCACCTTGAACAATTAAGTTTAGGATGTGCATATGAAGGTGCTTGCCACCCAACAACATATTAGCTGCTCCAATCCTTCCTTCCATTTGTCCAATCATGTTGTCATTGGTGCTGCAATTATCAAGGGTCACTGTTGGCACCCTGCAATCAATATCCCAAGTCTGAAGGCATTTGAGCAATGCATCTCAAATAACACTTGCTGTATGAGGGCATGGCACATAAATAAACCTGAAAACGATAGAAAACTTTAGCAAGCAAGAAAAACCAATAAATCCATATCATAAAAATAGTGCAGCAAGAAAATCGGTAATCACCTCAATGAGTCATCAATAAAATGTCCAATGACAGTTGAAAGGTCCTAATGGCTAGAGGGGGTGGATAGCCTATTAAAATTTTCTACAACAACACTTAACAAACCGGTTAGACAATTATGAGGCAAAGCCCCTTCCTCCCTTTTCCTCGTCCTCCTCGTGAAAAACCAATAAGACTCCATATCATAAAAATAGTACATGAACCCGCCAAGTCGGAAGGAGGAGGCCTCGCGTCGGAGGATAATCACCTCAATGAGTCATCAATAAAATGTCCAATGATTTGGGTTGACAAGAGAGAAGATGGAAGGTCCTAATGGCTCTCTCTTTCTACATAAAATAGGTGGATAGCGACTTCATTAAATTGTCTTTTTGTGTGTGGCATTTTGGGGTTTGGATCGCTACATGGGTATTGTGTTGGAGACGGTCTAAGTGCAAACCTGTCAAAGACAAGACCGCTGATATCCCAGGTCTTAAGGGGATTCACGTCGCACGCAACGCATTGCGCTTATGCGGCGCAGTGTCGTCGTGACCGCATGGGCATCAGCTCAGACGTGTCAAACAAGACAAGTGTGCTCTGAAAAGATATATGATGCCATGGGCATTGGACTGGACGTCAATAGGCAGGCAGGGCAGGTGGCGAGGGAGAGTCACAAGGATCGAGGCTGAGGGAGGTCGTCGCCTACTCGTCTTCGATCTGCAACTCTGCAGAAGTAGGAGCTATTAAAAATGGCAATCCACCACCGGGGTGTTTGATGCACATGCCTAAAAATTCTTTTAGAGGTGCCATTTGGATCCTAAGGTATTGGTTGGCTAATTAAAAAGGTGTAAATGTAAAAACGAAAAATGTGGTTCCATTGCCTTGTGATGATGTTGGTTATGCATTGTGAACACTTAACATCACTATGTTGTTACAGAAAATGTTGAGCTTTAGATTTATCTTTGCATCACATGTTTTCTTGCAATTAAAACTTATTTTTATTGTAGTAATTAATCCACTAATTATGGACATGTAATCTTTTTATAGTAACTATGCTTTGTTATTATCATCTACCACCCATAAAAATCGCAGCTTCAATGAAATGTTTGGTACAGGCGCAAAGTGCGTCCTCTTTGCTCGCCTACGACCGTGCCGTCCTCTTGGCTCGAGCGGCTCATCCACTCTCTGGCGTCTGGGCTGTTCGCCGGCCACTGGCCAGTGACCCCATATGTTCCACTATAACATCATTTTTTGTACTTGCTAGTACTATTCAATCAGAATCCTTCGTACAACACCTACATTCTTTTGGAGCAACTCCAGTAGAGCCCCTACTTGAGCCCCGATAGCTAAATATGGGAGCTCAGGGCAAAAAAAATGTGGTCCAACAGTGCCCTTACTAGGGTCCCAAAATTTACGTGGGCACCTAAATTCTTTCTCCAGACCCCATTCCCGTTGGGTCTAGGTCAAGCCCCCAAATCCTCCCGCAGCGACGGCATCTTCCCTTGGCGTGGCGGACGCGAGCTCCAGCAGCGACGACGGCTTCCCTCGGCGTGGTGGACGTGAGCTCCGGCAGCGACGGCGGCTTCCCTTGGTGTGGCGGATGCGAGCTCCGGCAGCGACCATGGCTTGAGGCCCCGGCAGGTTGGGGCTCGGGCTTCGGTCCTCGCCGCTGTCGTAGCGTCCGCCACGATGGGGGTGGTAGCCACGGCTAGCCCCCTCCCTCGCATCGTTGCGGGCATGCGCTGCGAGCATCGAGGGTGTTGCGCGTGTCACGGTGGCGGCCGAGATGCTCATGCACTGGAACCGCGGTGCGCAGCCTGCCGCCTTGCGACGCCTGGTGGACCGACGCGTCCTTGTCGGGTCGCTTATGAGGGCGTGCGTTGGCTAGCGTCGAGCTCGCGTCGTCGGGACAGCGAGCTCTCGGCCTGCTACGCTGCCGCA